GTGATATATTTGGGGGAACATGCAGATGAAATTCCACTAGCTATATTCCAAGTAACACATTAGTGTCATATACTTCAGGTGACGCCATTTTGTAGGCCTAACCACAAAAACAATCTCATGAAAGTTAAACAAAACAAAACAAATAAATAAAGGGAATAACCATTTTCTCCTACACAACTCCACTGGTTTTCAATAATACATTACAAATACTTTACACAAATCCACTGGTTTTCAACAATACATTACAAATACGTTACACAAATCCACTGGTTTTCAACAATACATTACAAATACGTTACACAAATCCACTGGTTTTCAACAATACACTACAAATACTTTACACGTGTCCACTGGTTTTCAACAATACGTTACAAATACTTTGGCATGTGCTAATTTGGATAACAATAATTATTTCAGATACACTTTAGTTAATGACTTATAAACTGGCGTGATTTGTGAAACAAGCTGTTTCGTTGTTGGTGCAATAAAAGGGTGTTTTGAGTTTTAAATACCTAAGAACATCATTAGTTAGACATTTCCAGTTTAAAGAACCTTGTTATTTTCTTCCTTCAAAGTACAAGTCCAAGAAACTCCTATGATTCCAACAGGATAACTTTAGGTATCCAAGAATATGTTCGAGTTGAGGTGTTTCAGAGGTGTTTGTTCTCTCCTTAACCAAAGTCAATAGCAAGGTGAAGAAAGGTATCTAGAAAGAACAATCGTGTCACAATCTGGATACTGCAAAGTAACGAGAATGTAATGCGTCTCGCGGGGAGGGAGTTTTTCCGACACGAACAAACCAGCAAGTAAACCGGCTCACAGTTCAGCTGCTCCCGAAGGAAGACTAGTGATGAGCACCGAGAAACGGCCGACCCGCACGGCTGCTTCTGCTCTCTTTTCTCCGCCCATTTGGGACTTGGAATCGGCAGATAGAAGTAAGTGGATTAGTGGCAAACACCTAAATCTCTTTGATGGGCCCCCGGATTACGGCTAGCAAAAGTGCTGGGCGAACAACGTGAATAAGCACGTAGGTTTATCTAAAACATAGTTTAGGAAGATTTTCGCTGTATATAATACGTTAGGTTTATTCTCTTCGTCGTTATTTACAACAGTTTAGAAAAAAATACGAAAGTCTGTAATCTCCTAAAGTAATTCCGCTGAAAAGTATGTCCTGATTCTACCATTTTTATAATACAGATCATACTTCGTATATTATCAGTTGAAAAATACTGTAAAATCAAGACTGTTTCCGTGCATTAAATGTAAATTTTACAACAAGGAACAGAGCCTTGAAGAAAGCGCGAATTAATATATCAAGAAATTAGTGTCCCTCTTTAAAATGAATAACATCAAACGGCAGTGAGGCTTGTAATTTAAGGAAAATTATATTATTTGTCTTCGGGGACGCTTGCGTATTGTGTTCTTGAAAAATCGCCTATTGCCAGTGGCAGAGCGATATGTCTGCGGACTTGCAACGCTAAAAACCGGGTTTCAAAACCCGTGGTGGGCAGAACACAGATAGCCCTTTGTATAGCTTTGTGCTTATTACAAATAAACTTTCATCCCCAAATCAAACAAAAGCTTTATAAAAAAAAAAGCCTTAAATAATCAACACATTAAGCTTTGTATTTTTAAACGAAAGCGGAACAGAGGTTTCATACACTAGTAGTTTTGACCCCGTGACACTGCTAGAGGTTAACTTCATGCCCTTACCTTTTTCACTATGATCAAACTAGAACGTTACTGCCCCTTCATGCTCTTACCTTTCTCTCCATGCTCGAACTAGAATATTACTTGGCTTTTCGCGTTTTTTACCTTTCTCCTATATAATATTATGTGATCCTTTCTGTTTTTACTTTGAGTCTATAATCAAGCTACAGAAAGGCATACCTACTACCCTTTATGTTTTTACCTTTGCCTATAAAAACCCTTCTTGTTTGTATATTTCCCCTATGATTAAACAAGAGAGGCGTATACATTATAACTTTACGTATCCTTATATAGGCGAACCAAAATGTCGTGTATTCTCGATCAGTCTAGAATGTTCTATTATACTTTATATATTTTTTCACGTATCAGCGCCAATTAGAACAGTAAGTACTACTTTTTTTTTACATATGAGCAAACTATCCTGATATATCAAAGTAAAACACAGGCTATCCTGATATATTAAAGTAAAACACAGGCTATCCTGATATATTAAAGTAAAACACAGGCTATCCTGATATATCAAAGTAAAACACAGATACGTTTTCCCATCATCTCCATGTTTTGCTTTTCTCCATCAAACCAAAATATAATGTGACAATCAGTTTGTTCAATGACCTAACTTTGTCCAAATGTCATTTAGCATATAGCCCTTTATAAGGCTCTAAAACGTATTTTTAGGATCTTAACCACGTGACGATATTTGAAATTGTATAGCTTTCTCCCTGTAGCTCCGGCGGAAAGATGGTTCCCAGAGATTTGTACAAAATAAAAATTATTTAAAACAAACTAGGTCAAATCAATATATTTTATTATTCTAAGAGAGAGAACTGCGTTATTTAATCATTGTTCAAATTCAACATGTACTTAATAAAACAAACTTTAATAGGTAAAAAAAGTGTTTATATTCATCTTAATGAAATGGAAATTTTCAACTATTTTATTTCTTGCCCCTACTATCACGACCTGTTCCAAATGTTGTTTTTTTGTTTGTTTGTTTGTTTTGCATGTATTTGTCCGATATTATACACTGAATATTTCTTTGTAATTCTTCGGTATTGCCCCCCCCCCAAACCTCAAATTCCGCGTTACGCGGCTAATATGGACATATTTACCCTACGCAGTTTCTATGTTCTTTTTCAGAAAGCACACTCCCCCCCCCCAAAAAAAACGATCCAGCCAGTTTAATCATTTGCATTGTCTGTTGACTCATAAAAATCTTTTAAGTTGATTAACTGAAGGGGGAGGGGGAGTCACCAGCAGCATATACTTGAATAAACTGAAAACAATGTATCAACTTTTAAGCTTCGCACAAAATAGGCCACTGTTTGCTGCAATGCAGATAAAAAGACAATGAGTCCTTAAAACAAATTTCCCATCCTAGTTGGCAAAATAACTTATCCATGGGTAATTTAAAACCCTTACTTGAAAGAAATTGCAACTATGACATTATTTGTTTGTTGCTAAACACGAAGCTACGCAATGAGCCTAACACTAGTATTCAAACCCAGTTTTTACCGCCGTGTCACTGGGGGGAGGGGGTAATTATAATACTGTACAGTTTCCAAGAGAAAAACGAGTTAAATGTCCTCTATAAACCTTGGGACAGGGCGTGGCCGAGCTGCTAGCGTACCGAATTGCCAAACGTGAGACCAATGCTCATGGTTCGCGTCCCGTTACCGTAAAATCGCGTTCGCCACTCATATTCCAATGTTTGATTGGAGCATACCAACAGTTGGCGGTAAGTGCTATTAACCAGCCACCTCTCTTCTAGCCTACCAGTTCAAAATTAGGGACGGCTAACACAGCTAACTCTTGTGTAGCTTTGCGCGAATATCCAAAACAAACAAAACTTGACTGACATATTTATGCGTTTGTACAGCCATTATATTTAGATCAACAAGTTTGAATTACCAAACATAACCATATTAAGTCTTTATTGACTGTCTGAAAAAAAAACTGTAATTTTTTTTAATAAACAAAATTTACCATAATAAATTTTCTTTGTTTGTATCCCAAACCAATAACATATACTACTGCATAACAATCACTAACAAGCGTATCGTTAGGTAGATCCACAACACATAAACATAGCAAGTTTTACATCAAAACTCGTACAGACACATGTAAACTCAGTATATTGAAACAAATATGTTGTTTTTTTATAAAAGTTATGCTCATAAAAAACAATTTTCTATCAAGTCAACCTTTTCATAGGTTATAACACATGACCTTTCTACTTCCTGTGATTGGAAATCGCGTGGTTTATATTGCATACAACGAGCAGGAAAACGGTTACATTCGTGGATGTTGAAGTTATAATCGTCACTATACCCTTTTCAACGATAAGAGCGAAATTAACCCCCCTCCCTCTCAGAGTCCTGCTCCACGGTAAATATTCCTGTTTTCGGCTTAGCGATCGAGTCATGAAAGCTATAGTAACGAGTATAAGACGAAGACGATTCGTTTCACCCGAATAACTATGAAGCTTTAATACCCCTACCCACGGAAATCATGCACGTGCCAACTAACTGTACAAGGTTAATTTACTTACTCAAAACTTTGAGCAGACAACTGTTCTAAAAGGGGGCGGGGTTGTAGGACTGCCCGAAACGTAAAATATGTGATCTGTGTAGCCTTTCACTCCTACTATTAACACTATTTTACTTCTTGTATCAATGCTCTAACATTTCCACTAACAATAGCATTAAATCCTTAGTTTAAATATCCTTATGCATTGATATTAATACATCAATACCCTTACACTTCCAGAATCATTCAGTAAACTAACACCCTAAGTATCTATACGCTAATATTCTGAGTATGAATATTCTATATTCATTGTATCAGTACGCTACCGCTCCCAATAATAATACCCTTATATTCCCAGTATAAATATGCGAATACTCTTGATATCAATACAACGTTCTGAGTATCAATAGCGCGCACTCCAATTATCTATGCAGTAACACTGACAGTATCAGTTCGTTATTCTTTTTGATATGATGTATCTTTAGAGAACTTGATTTTAAAAGTCAAATAAATTAAGATAATACTATTGTATTTTTCGCGTCACGTGAGAGCTGCTAATTTAAATTATATATTTCATAAATGTCATATTTATTTATATAAGCGTGTGCGTGTTAATGTTTATTAATGTGCAAATGGATCCTTAGTGTATTAGGGGTAAAAAACAACAACAAGACTTTATGAATTATAACAGTATTCAGAGAAGTTGGTCAACTTTCTAAGCCTACTTGCTACTTGATGATATGTGAAAATGAATAACTTACCTTGTCTTGCTGTTGCATCTGTTTCATCATGATACTTTTCTTCTTATCCTTACATCGCTTGTTCTGGAACCACACCCGAATCACCCTGGGAGATAAACCAGTCATTTCCACAAGCTGTTCCTTCATAAGGGCGTCAGGCCGCGGGTTAGCGGCGTAGCACGTGCGTAATGTGTGTAGCTGCTTTTCGTTCAACACTGTCCGCACTCGAGTGGACTTAACATCCGAGCTCTGTTTATGAACGTGCGGCCTGACAGAACTTCTGTTCCGGTTAGTTTGCATCGGTTCAGCGTTAGCTACAAGAAAACGAGCAAGTTGACGTTACTTTATTGCATTGTTTTTGGTTTTAGTTAAGGTACATCTAATCCAGTTTTTCATAAGAGATTAAGCAAAAAACTTTGTGGAGGTTTGAGTTTCATTATGTTTCTCAATTGCCAGAGAAAGATATTTGAATTCTGTGAAGAAAATAAATCTTGTAGGTCTAATAATCGTAAAATATGAAGCTTTTCCAGCGCTAATTCGGGTTCGGGTTAAGTTCAGACAAGAACCAAGTTATTGCTAGTTTACAGCTACTAACAGTCTGTCCTATAACCTAGTACCAAACTGGTTGCTACAATATGCACAGAATGAAGTTGAATATGTTCATGTGAAACGTCTACGTAAGTGTAACATGGGATATGTCTATTTCACAAGGGAAATCAGCTAAGTCTACATACCTGTTCGCTACGTCAAACACGATTGATTGAAATACAAAGACTGAATTCCTTATATACTGTTGTATATTAAAGACTAGTTGGGATCTTAAAGATAAATGTGCCTAATTACAATCTTCATTATCGGTAACATTAGACGTGTATAACAGATGAATGATTCTCTGGGGATGGAGAGTTTGTGGTGAGAGTCTATTTAACAGTGATAACAGGTTGGATTAATTTAGGTTGCAACCACTTTCTTGTATATTTTAGTTTATAATTAACATAAAATATTTGGTAAATTATTAAACTACAGGTTAAGAAACCGTTGAACATCGACTCGGAGATATAATGTCCTAATCTTCACACTAGTTTTTACCTGTTGTATACAATTTGTTTATTTGAAGTTAAGCACAGAGCTACACAATGGGCTACCTGTGCTCTGCCCACCACAGGTATCGAAACCCGGTTTATAGCGTTGTAAGTCCGCAGACATACCGCTGTGCCACTGGGGGGGCAAGTATACAGTAAAAGTTTTGTTTACTTTATTTCACTAGGGGGCATACAAAAACTGAGGCTAACATAATTTAATTTAAAAAAAGAATCACATGAGAATCTATAACAATAGTAATCTACAACAATAAGACTGACCAGCTGTAAACAATAAAATAATTTATCAATGAACTGTCAAATTTAAGCATGATAAATACAAATGTTAGTCCCGAGTTTAAGTATTGAAATACGTTCTATGTACAAAAGAGAAGGGAACTGAAATAGATACAAGTGAACACCTTTGTATTTGGCAAGAAGAGGGTTGTGAATAAAATAAGCGATAGTTTTAATATGTACGACTTATAAAAACTTGCGTGAATCTTAAAAACATATTTTTTTAATATTTGATTAATGTCCTGATCCGTTCTTGGTGCCGTACAGTGTATAATGTATTATAATGATATCTTTAAAAATCATGTAAATACCACGTACTGCTAGGTAAACAACGTGCGGGTATCTTTAAAAATCATGTAAATACCACGTACTGCTAGATAAAGTGTACAAATTATGCTGGTTTTCAACATCATTGGGCGTTCCCTATTCATCGCATGTTGTTTACTCTAGCAGTACGTGGTATTTACATGATTTTTAAAGATACCCACACGTTGTTTATCTAGCAGTACGTGGTATTTACATGATTTTTAAAGATACCCGCACGGTCTTTATCTAGCAGTACGTGGTATTTACATGATTTTTATAGATACCCGCACGTTGTTTATCTAGCAGTACGTGGTATTTACATGATTTTTAAAGATACCCGCACGTTGGTGATTCTGAAACGGATGGTGTTCTCCTGTGGTACCTATAATTTGGTTTGAAATTATGCACGTGGTACAAACAGCTTATTTTCGCTACTTTTTTTCCTAATATCATTATACTTGAATATTTGTAAATAAGACAGATATTATGTTTTTGAAGCTGGCGTTTTTTTGGTTTTAATAAGGCGTATACAATTAAAATTTACATTAAAATGCGCAATGAGATGTTTGTGTAGCAAATCCTGGACGCTTGTTGACTTCCTTTTAAATCAATACTGACGACCAATTTGGATGCTGGAAACACGTCAGATTGATCTTATCCATATCGCCGCAGGGATACTTTGTTGGGCCCCAAGTACCAGGTGGGGGGGATAGAGTGTGTACGTATCTGTCTGTCTGTATGTGCCAATGAATTCGCGAAAGAAGAGAGTGGGAAGGAGACAACCCAGAACTACACCCTCGTTCACTTTCTGTCAGTTTTAATTAACCGGAACAACACGCACTGTGTCAAGATCGGATTTCGTCTTGCCTCGGTCGGCCCGTGAGAAGTGATCAGGTGAGCAAATAAAGACTAAGTAGAGATGGCCGGTTGCCAGGGCAGAAAGCTTCTCGTCGTGCAGTGTGAGAACACGCAGGTGTCCATCACAGCTAGTGAAGGGTCAACAAAGGGAGGGAAATATTCGACAATGTAGGAATAACACTGCAGAGTTACATCGTCAAGGATGGTCATCCAAAAAACAAACACCATCAGAGACTATTGTTCCTTACTGAGCAACCATAGAAGTGAACGGTCTTCCAAATACGAGAGCTAAGCTCCAACCAATGACTTCTTTAACTTGTCTTGAATAATAATGCATTAAGGCAAAAACAACCACACATTTCGGTTGGTGTGTATATATATAGATACATCCATGTCTTTACGTACACGGCATCATCGTTTTGACAAAATATTAGTTTCTAGTATACCAGACACATCAAACTAAGGTCAAGAAGATATCTTACTGCGGTTATATCTTAAATTCCCATCCACCAGGTTTCACCGTTAGATACTAGCGTTTCTATTTTCTGACAAAACCCAGATCTTTACATAAACTGTTTACATCACATCAAAACCATTGCTATGATGATAATTTATGATCAGAGAAAAACCATTAAGTTTTAAAAATCGACAAAACCTTGGGATACCAGTAATGTGTCATTATGGGAATCAGGAATGAATATCCTATAGAAATGTAAATAAAACCAGCAAATGTGTCCCAATAAAAAAAACCGTTAAGTCTAAATGAGTCTTATTAAATTTTATTTTCGCATGCAATAGTATTTTTATACATTTCTTTATTATTTCAATGGCGAACAGTACAAGCGTAGGAAACTTAGCGAGTCGTGTTCTTTGGCGATCGGCGCGTGAAAATTTTTACAGACCGATATGATAATAAAAAAGTTTAGATTACACGTACGGTTATAATTTTCCTAAAATGATTTTTTTTCTTTTAGCAAATAAAAAAAAACACGGTAAAATTAATGAGCCACATCCTTTTGCAATTAGCACGTAAAATTCCGTAATGAATCGGTTACGTGAGGCTTAAACTAATAATTTCCCAATCATCATTTTCTTTAATCGAATAAAATCACAGTTAAATTAATGAGTCATGTTATTAAACGAGTCGCACAATATCTTCTAAAAACTATTCTGTTGGTGTTTTTTTTTATGTTGAAAGTTAGCTAAGAACAGTTCTTTGGTGGGTCAACGGCAAGCTTTCGGACTTGCTAAAATCCGGGTTTCGATTCCCTGCGGTAGACAGAAGCAGAATCCTATCTTAAAGAGCATACTTGTCGAGTTTTTTTTTAAATAGACTGCTGTCTATTTTTCCTTTGCCTATATCTTATTTAATTTAGTTAATTTCAGTTATAAATTTTAGTAACCATGCCCATAAATATTTCCTTAATTTCCATTCTTAAAATTTTATAAAAACAACTATATTATTCTTTAATGAACGGTGTCCTTAGATGACGTATTTACCAATGAAAATAAACTAAAATAAATAATAAATAAGCTAGTGGTAAGAAAAGATACCAGAAATAATGGAGATATATAGATATAAATTAAAGCTTTACAATATTTTATCCCACGTAGATCGATAATCACATTATATGCTTTTAATTCTCTCCACTCTCTCTGTACAATGTCACATTTTCGTCATGCAATGAAACCTCTGTGTAGCTTAAGAGGGAGAAGATGGAGATTACAACAGTTTCCAGACGAACAATATTATGCAATGAACACTAACTACACAGTGACATAGCTATGCCAGGCAATAAATGTAAATATGGTTATTTTTAACCTCTTTATAGATAAGGCTTTCTTAACACAATTTAAGTATCTTCCTACCGATAGGCTTACGGATTTAATGTACATACACCGACAGATATCCATCCATATATATATAATCTGGCGACTCAAATTTTACTTCCTGTGGATATTATATTTCATACAATTATTTAGTTTACTATTCTTTCCGACTTTTATAATTATTTAAAATTACTTGATCTTTAATTAAGAACCGGTTTCGTAGCTTGCACTACTTACGTTTACGTGTGAAAGCTGGTTCTTTAAAGAACAAATGATTTTAAATAATTGTAAAAGTTGAAAAGAAGAATAAAATAAACTGTTGTGTGAAACAAACACACACATTCATATATATAGGAGCTTGAACTAAATCATTCTATGACATTTTAGTCAATTCAATTTAGCCTTAAATGACATAAGTGTATTATAATTGACTCTTTGTATTGAGCAAAAGTGTACTTACTATAAAAACACGTTGTTAATAAGTTAAGTGGATTAAAACTTAAGCACACTACTATTATGAAAGACGTGTTCATTAGTAGTTAAAGGTACTTAGAAAGAAAGAAAATGTGAATACAGTAGTCAACAATAGCTATATTCAACCCCATACAACAACCATTACAAGTTACTGTATACCATAATCAGTCAGTTTACTCTCCTCGTAAATATATCCGAAGGAAACAAAAGATTGATCCAACGAGTTCCTTTCCCAAGAGTCCAGTCATCAAATATTTGCTTAACTGCCAAAGGCAATGTTAGATTATAGCACATCAGCAACAGTAAATACACATGTGTATAGTGGTAAACAGTGGGTTCAAGGAAGGTGCTACCTATGTTTTCTCTCCTTGCAGGAGAGAAACAAAGAGCTCTCCCTGATTAGATCCGATACCAAATCTAACACACTCTCAGAAACTTATTATAAATAACGATCAAAGGTCTTTTGTATTACGTTAATATATTTGCTACACGAGCTTTGAACGATGAATAAGAAGTTTTGATATATCGTGAACGAAAACGATGAACGAGTCTATAGTGTGTGTTTGTGTATACTAACATTGGTTGTCAGTTACATGTTTATCCACCAGTGCTTGTAATTTTTTTAAGATGAACATAATAGGGAACCCAAATGTGTTTTGATAATTCAACATTATAACTCTTGTAAGAAAGTGTATTTTGTTCATCCTTGCATTTTTGGTTTAAGCCTAAGATCTGTTATTTTTATATAAATTAAAACAATCACTAAAATATAAAAATACTTTGTCAATAACATTCATAAAGGAATATTCTTTTCCTAAAAACTCAAGTTTTAAATTGAAAGATGTGGATGTTTATGAGATCTCATATAATCATCATTAATTTATGTCTCTCCAATAAACCTACTTTAGTAACTTATGTAAATTTTATAATTCAAATAACACTGAAAACTAAAAAGATCGGTCTGAGAGTTTTAGGAGTTTTTTTTCTCTGAATTCAAGTTTTCGAAACTGAGTTAAGTACAACAGGTTAATTAACTAATCTTCTGGAAAATTCTCTCACTTGGTAAAATGATCTGAAGAAGCTTCGCTAAAAAAGCGAAACGTTTTGGTATAGGATTTATTTTCAGTTGTCCGAGAGAAGGTGAAGTTTTTTTAAAAGGTTAGAGAAACATTTGGGGTTTCCTCGAGGGTTATCTGCACAAGCCGTCCCTAATTTTGAAGTGATAGGCAACTAATCAACGCCACCTTCCGCCAACTCGTGGATTACCCTAATGAAATAGTGGGATTTGACTGTCAGTCTTAGAGCGCACCCACAAACTCATAGTGCGAGCTCGAATTTTCAAATAATGTTACTGGCAGTAACCGGGCTCGAACCGCCGATCCACAGTCCGTTACGCTAACTACTGAGACACGCTTGGTCTTATTGTCAAGATACACGTAATTGGAAAAAGCGCTTTGATATAACGTATTCAACCTCCGTAATTTATCATTTTTTATTCTTTAAGAACACGGGGGATTTCTAATGATTTACAACTGTATAAATTCAGGGTTTTTTCTTCTACACACATAGTCGATGGAAATGATTTTCGGTGTAATCCTGATATTGGGATTTCCTGCACAGAAGGGAATCGCAAATGATTTTATTGTTTTGGTTTACTTTAATATTCTAGTTTATTTTCACAATGCTACAAATACGTCATAAATACTCAGCATATTTTGAAAGAATACAAGTTATGTTAGATCCAACAGAACTAGAAGAAGTCTCCAAAATCAACGAAGTTCACGCCATAGTAATCCATGTTTAAAAACTCATGGAATATATACGAAGCTACTGTGTTTAACCAAAATTGGCACTGGAGATAAGGTCGTAAAACACAGATACGTAGACAAACAATGAATTAATGTAAAAATCTATGTCTATATATAAAAACAGTGTTTATCCGCAGAAATTTCTCCATTATTTTGTATTCTATTATTCTGTATTCTAAGCATTCATTTTGAACCTTCCCCGAATTAGTTTTAAAAAATAACTTATATTCGAATATTTAAATAAAGCGTAAAGTAATTTAAAAACAAATAGCCCTTTCTCGCAATAGCAATACACTGAATAATGAAGATTAGCATAATATGGCCCGTAATGATGAATAATCTGGGATTATTATTATTATTTCAGGAACAAAATAACAAAGGGAATCATGAAGTTGTTGTTGTTGTTTTTTTTCTAAAATTTTTACTTCTTGGTTAGCAACTAAAACCTACTTTTACTGGAATTTCGTGTAACGCTGTTACTTGATCTTATAATTACCAATCTTGACTAGGAATCACATGCTGTCATAAATTTCATTAAGACATATAAATATTTTAATTGATCCTATAATTCCAGAATATTCTTTAATGATATTCTGTTAGGTCAAAGTTAGTGTTAGAGGGGAGGGGAAAGACTAAAAAAAAAAAAAAAACTTTAGTAAGACTAGAATCAACAGAGAAACGATTGGTAAAGAAATTGTTAATGTGAACAAGAGTAATTTTAATAGATAAAATAAAAATTAGAACAAAAAAATGATAACAAGCAAATTCGTTAATTTTACGTACCCGCCATTTGCAAACCAGTGCTGTCATTAGCTTTGCTGTTATTTCCTTTCCCGTTGAGGGGTATACTATTGTTGTTGTTGTTAGCTTTCTCTAAAACTTCGTGGTCAGCCTTACAGAAAAGTCCATCGTCTCTGAGGGCGAATTCGTCTCCCGGAACTAACTGTCTCGAGCAGGCCATACATTGAAAACATTCAAGATGATAAATCTTGTTCCTGGCTCGCATCACAAAATTATCCTTATTAAAACCCGAATTACACTTGGCGCACTTAGCTCCAAATAACCTGTCAAAAATCAAAAGAAATGATTGGTCAAACAAATGAATAAGTGGCAGATACCTAAATCTAAACGTATCTTCGTCAACGTTTATAATTTATTACTCAGCATTGTTATGTACTTCTCATAATTTTACGCTACATTTATTTTCCTTGCAGACTTATAGAAACTCTAATAAAACATAGACTCTGTTTACGATACGTGGTGTTATATTACTTTTTAAGCTATTTAAAGTATAAAGCAGTTTACATAGAAAACTTATTTGGCCTAATTTCTATAGTTCTTATCCACGTATATTAGCATATAGAAAAGCTATGCCAGTATTCTATTCATTGTGTAGCTTTGTGCTTAAGTTCTAAGAAACAAACAAAAAAGAAAAGCTCACTAACAATAGAAAAGCTGATTGTGAGTAAGTACCAACGAACTTTATAAGTGTGATACAAATGTAATAAATCAGCAGATATATTTAAATATTATTATATGGTTTAATGTGTTCATTTCTCTCCACGTAAAATGTTCTATATAACTATTGCACCAAGTTCTATTTAACAAAGGTCTGGAATGACTTAGTGGTTATGGCGATGCGCGCCACGGGATCGAAATCAGTCGTCAAACATGCACACTTCTTTCAGTCTTGGGGGTGTTATAACGTTACGGTGAATCCCACCATTCGCTGGTAAAGAATATTCCGAGAGTTGGCAGTGGATGGTGTTGACTAACAGCCTTCCCTCTAGTCTATCGCTTCAAAATTAGGGACGGCTAGCGTAGGTAGCCCTCGAGTAGCTTTGCGCGAAATAGAACAAACAAACTTTTTAAAGTTTTTCTTACTCTACGCGCTTGGTAAACGACACGGTACTGCCCGTTTCCAGCAAAACATTATTACAAGTCATACTTTAACGATAGCAAAAAGTTCTGAAAAACGAATGATAAAAAAAATGCTCGGATTTATGAAATTTGTTGGCTCTATGTATTATTCAAACTTTCCATTCACAGATATCATGCATTACTTGAACACTAATCCGTTCTCCAGTTACAAGCCCTTCCCAGGGTAGTTCTTAGTTTTGAATATCTTCTCACCTCACACGTGAGGCCGTGGCACAAGTTCACCGTGATAAGTATGTTTAAGGTTCCAGTGCCACAAAGTAAGCAGTCACTAGCTAGCTCCTTACTCCGTTTTTGCAATGAAAACGTCTCTATAAAATTTCGCCGTGCAAATGTATCCTCTCGCTCTTGATATGTATTCCTCGCTATCGCGAGGCTAATTTAAAGCTAACCTTCCCTCACAATAAGCCACTTAACCCTAACAGTTTACAGTTCTCCCACTGGGCACCCTGAGGCAGGTTGGGATTCTTAAGATGAAAGCAAGGTTAGGAATAACGGAAGAACATCGCTGTATGGTGTATTCATTACTACAGGGAGAAGTGTGTATGCACGCAAGCTATATCAATAATTCTACGAGAAAAGTGCTTTTGGATATAAACGTTTGTGGTCTCGAGCTGCAGAATAACTCGTAGTGAAGTCACAATCTAATCTATGCGTGTTGCTATAATTGTATGAAGAAAAGAGTGTTCGGTGTTACCACAGAGTCTAAATAATTCAAGAGTTTATGCATTTCAGATTTATCTGTCAGGCCTAAATATATACTTCTTGAATAATAGATGTGTATCTGAGTGAAACCGAATACGAATCAATCTGCAGAATGTCTTGAGTTTATATTTATTACTTCTGTGTTTTGACGACTTCACAGTTATGAAATATGTTACACTTAAATGCTGTGGATGTTTCATCTCTGAGGTAAACTTTATTTAACTTAAATGATATAAATATTTTTTTTGGGGGGGGAGACAAAGATACACACACACACACACACACACACACACATATATATATATATATATATATACTTTTTATTATGAAAAACAAACCAATGTGGTAGCTTACTTTTGTCGTACATAAAGTGTATTAAGGATACTGAGGTGATAGGGACAGTTTACTGAGCTTGAAAGTGTTTATATGATCAGATCACCCAGTAAAAGTTGAACAAGTTATTCGTGAATATATGTTCTATGTGTTTCACAATCTCTTTAGCTGTCAGAACTTTTTCGTCCAACAATTTACTGCACATGTCAAAGCGAAATGTTTTTAACGTGATTATTTATTTAATTTCAATAAATTGTAAGCAAAGAATAAAGAACAAACTTCGTGAATGTGGAAATATCGTGTCTTATCACTTTCTGCCTCTCCATCCCACATTTCCCGTACTTTTGTGAACTTTACCTTACAAACTAACTAGCGTTAATCCTGATTTTAAATACACAGACACAAGATATGTAGATAATCATGTTTCTGTACTATGTTGACCCATTTCTGTTCACATAAACCTTTCCTGGAATGTTTGCTTCAGAGTGATTAGACGCCTGGGGTGGACACAAAGGATGACCACGTTAGGGGAGGGGAATTGTTTACACTGAGTCTTCCCTAAATACCCTGGAGATCAAGGTAGCCCACAAAAGGTGTGAAAGAGGACGACAGGGGGTGAAACACCTGAAGATATATTAATCCAGGACCGTATCGAATACACTTCAGTTGTGAACACTGAACACTTTCGCTCTAATAACGGTGGCGACTAATACTTTAACATGAGTAAAGCATGAATATAAACAATATGTGAATATCTCTAATAACGGTGGCGATTAATATTTTGACAGGAGTAAAGTATGAACATAAACAATATGCGAATGTCTTTAATAACGGTGGCGACTAATACTTTGACAGGAGTAAAGCATGAAGATGAACAACATGTGAACCTCTCTAATAACGGTGGCGACTAATACTTTGACAGAAGTAAAGTATGAACATATACAATATGTGAATCCGGATCTAAACTAAGGTATACGATAGCCTGCTTCACACGAAGATAGCAGCTTATACTATAGAAATGTTACGTTAACACAAAACAATGATTTATATATATTTGCCACGTATTTTCAAACGCTACCGTGATTTTAGCAACGTGTAAAAAAGTCAAACATCGAACTACTCTGAACTAGTCTCGACATATAAAATGAAAGAAAACAAACAAAAACAATACCAGACAATATACAGTCTCTCTCTTAAATTAACTGTCGAGTATTTTAAGGTTTTTAGTTTAAATGACGTAATCAGTCAGTATTTGCACAGGACTTTGAAAAATACCAAAGTTTCCGAGCAAACACAGAATTGGCCAATAATTGTACTTAATTCATTTCTGGACCAGTATAGGCGGTTACTAAAGCGAATCTAACGTACTTCCGTTGGAATAGCAAAGTAAAATATACGTATGTATAAAAATGTTAAGTTTCATAGAAAAATATCATTTTTACCATAGATACCAATATTCATTTCAATACTCTTGAGTGAGCCAGCGGTAAGTTTACGGACTTATAACACTAAAAGCAAAGGTTCGATTCCTCGCGGTGTACAGAGTACAGATATCCCATTGTGTAGCTTTGTACTAAGAAAGCAACGGCAAGTACGCTCCGAAAATAGTTCTGAGTATAATGTGTTATCTCTGTAACAAATAACCGTATTTATAATGAATTTTATGGTAGTTCCATTTTACTGTAAAGTACAACAGTAAATTTTTTTTTATTCATCTCTATCATTACTATAGGTTTGCAACGTAGTACAGAAATGCTTCCTTCTCCCCCCCCCTACCAAGAACGACTTTGCTCCACTAAGTAGAGCGAATTTTATACCTTAATATGCTCCGATTGTGTAAGAAATAGAAAGGTTTTACACACTCAGTCTGTTTAGTTGTTTGTTGTTAAGTGTAAAGCTTCACACTGGGCTATCTGTACTCTGCCCACCGCGAGTATCAAAACTCGATTTTTAGAGTTACAATCTCTCATACTTGCCGCTGAGTCACTGAGGACACGCTTAGTCACGGGACTATTTACCGTTACTGGAGTTACTTACATCTACCTGTCCTGAACGCTTCTGGAAAATGTATTTGTTTATATAGTCTTTTCGTGCAAATGTACGCACAGCCGTTCTGAATTTTCAACTCTTAGACTTAGGGAAAAGATAGGTAATCAACGGTATCCTACAGCCACCTCTTGGGCTACGCTTGTCTGACCGAATAGTGTTGTAGCACACCCACGGCCACAAAGTCTGAGCGGGTTTTAGCGGCAACGGAACGTAAACCATAAACCTTGGATTCCAATTCCGAGCACACTAACCACAAGGCCACGCTTGGCCCATTTTATTAAGTATTGTGACTTTTATGTCATTCTATAAACTTTAATAGTGTACGAAATGGAAATGTTATACGTTTTTAGTCACGTGACCCATTTAATATAGGTAATACTTCTGTCTGAATGTGTAGCACCAATAGAAGATGTAATACACACAGGTTATAAGAGCGTTCTCAGCCATTGGGTGTGTGCAGTGTGTATCAACTTCAGTGCCGTACTGAGTAACGTGGACGCTATCTGGTAATCTTGAAATGAGTTTACATAGTCATCTTTGAATTAAGACAATTTAGTGACATATATATATATTTTCTAGATTTCCAGTTACATTAGAATATACAAAAAAATTGAGTTTCTTACTGAGAAGTTTTTAATTGCTTCTGCTAATGGCCACATTTACTTTCAAACCGAAAACGACGTAGATCACATTAAACTGGAAGTTCCTTCTACATTATTAGTGAAAACAACAGTCAATAGTTATAGATCTATTCTCCTTGTATTTGTTTTTCAGAGACAAGTCAAGAAAAGAACAAATAAAGTGAAATATTATCAACTAAACAGTAACAACTTTTCAAATTTCTTTAAATATTAGGCAAGTTTGTTTAATCTCGAAAACGTTGTACACTAGGTGTTCATAATACGCCATTATGCTGACTCTTGGTTTACATATACTACTTTAGCAACGAGCTATTAACTGGAGTAATTTTCTGTTAATGCGAGTAACTCAACCTTCAGCAAAATTCATTTCTGTACTTTGAAATTTAAGTCTTAGTTATTTGTCATTTGCCTGAACATTGTGATTAGCATGGGATAGCTATACAGAAAGTGTATATGACAAATTGCTTGTAGGCGTTCATAGGCTTTAGGCTACCAACTATTCTGGAAAAGCCTTAAGACTTCGAATCAATTAAAGTATACGGAGTTTATTCAGTTCATAGGACTTGGTAGTTAAAACTTGCACACACAAAAAATTATAATTAGTCGTAATTTTTTTTAGCATTATTACACAGCTTTCCAAAATGGTTGATTAAAAAACTTTTTATTGCTGGATAATTTTTCATCGAAATTTTAATTCCCCATAATCTAACCTTAGCGTGATTTATATAAACCACTTTTATAGCGTCTGAGTACGGGATTAAGCCTACAGTAGTCAAAACACTGCAGTATAGAGCCGAGATACAAAAAACAAAAAAGCATGATAAGTATTTGGCAGTTAAGGTTTACATGGAAGCGAAATGAATCTTGAAAAGGGATGTTTGTTTGACTCAACCCTTGCTATATTTAGTTTTGCCTCCCCACCTGACGTAATCTCGCTTGCAGTAAGTCTTTCCGTCTCTGACGAAGCACGTACAAGTCTCGTCCAGAAACTGATGACAGTCTGCACATTTGAGGCAGGCCGCGTGCCATTCCAGGTCCGGAGCTACCCGAAGAATATACTGATCGTTGATCTGGGATCCACAGCCGACACAAGTTGACACTCGCCGCCGTTCTGTTAATGAAAAAAAAAAAGCCAACTGGACCTTAACTATGATGTATTTATATTACATTAGCGCCTAGCTAAATAAACATATATATACTGACAAAAACAAACCTATATTCACAACAGCATTCAGCAAGTTGAACATGTAGACGGATACAGTTATTCTTAAATTTCAAATACATTTTTTAAACATCTTTCAGCTACTGAAATACCTACCCTGAGAGGAAATTTAAAATCAGTCTTTATAGATACTATCATATGTCATGCCCAATAACCTGAACGTGTATAGGGACAAGAACTAACCTTAACAGGTATTAGCACATGTCAGTACCGAGTGCCCCGAAAATGTATAGAGACAAGACACATGTCAGTACCGAGTGCCCCGAACATGTATAGAGACAAGACACATGTCAGTACCGAGTGCCCCGAACATGTATAGAGACAAGAACTAACCTTAACAGGTATTATCACATGTCAGTACCGAGTGCCCCGAACATGTATAGAAACAAGAACTAACCTTACCTCAGATATATTTCATCACACGATAATGTGATAATTCTCTAAGCTTGCACGGATGAACAGAAATTAACTTCGAGTTAGATATATTTAATAATCAGCTCCTTAAACATATGGAGCTAACGTTAACATTTATAAATCCCACAAAATGAAAACACGTGTATAGAGACAGAAATGAACTGACAATTTTGCCATAAGAATTATAACATGTTAATATTAGATCCTAAAATGTGCAGGGACAGGTGATAACCATTACTTTTATGATGTCATCATATGTAAGCCCCCTTACTTCATAAATATGTATAGTCAGGAAGTAAGCACTACCTTTATGAATGTCATCGTGTATCAGCCCCTTACTCCCTAAATATGTATAGTAAGGAAGTAAGCACTACCTTTATGAATATCATCGTGTGTCAGTCCCTTACTCCAAAAATATGTATAGTCAGGAAATAAGCACTACCCTTATGAATGTCATCGTGTGTCAGCCTTAATTCCCTCAATATATATAGAAGGTAACCATTAACCATTATCTGTATAGGCATCATCATATGCGATTCCTTGATTCCCTCAATATATACATATGTAGAAGGTAACCATTAACCATTATATGTATAGGCATCATCATATGCGATTCCTTGATTCTCTCAATATATACATATGTAGAAGATAACCATTAACCATTATCTGTGTAGGCATCATCACATATGATTCCTTGATTCCCTCAATATATACATATATAGAAGGTAACCATTAACCATTATCGTTACGTTAACACACAACAATGATCTCTCTTTCTCTCTCTCTCTCTACTCTCTCTCTCTCTCTCTCTCTCTCTCTCTCTATATATATATATATATATATATATACATTCAGAGAGAGAAACCACAAGTTTTTTGCCAGAAGGCACATAATCAAATCAATTTTGTTCCCTGCAACTTGTTATGTATAAAAAATTCTTAGCAAGTGGATTCTTTTAAAATCGTTAATGTTTAAAGAGGTGGTTTTTAGAATATTTTAATGTTTTTTTCCGTATGGTTGAGAAGCCTATCGTGTTGAACAGATATCACATTCATTTGGAATTTCTTAAGCCTTTTCTTCCCGTTTGGGCCTTCCAGTGGCACAGCGGTAAGTCTGTAGGCTTATGATACTAAAAACTGGGTGGGAAGAGCACAGATAGTCCATTGTTAAGCTTTGTGCTAAGAAACAAACAAAATCTTCCTGTTTGGCGATTATGAAGTAAAAATATTTAAAAAAAAATTCTATAGCCTAATGGATTTTAGTCTTTCTTAACCTCGGATAAATTATTTATGAGAAAGCAAAAAAGCCGTAACAACAGCCTGCAGAAATAAAAGTATTTCATAATTTTCGATCATATTTTTCTTCCTGTCTAAGTTAGAGTCTTCTCCTTATAGACTAATAAAAATCCTAATTTTGTTCGATCTTTTGGTTTTTCTTTGCCAAGAATCTCATTTGCAACGAAAATCTTCGTTTTAGATCTTTTTTCTCCCTCGTTACCAAACGCTTTAAAATAAAACTTATCGTTTGGATAAATCTCCCTTTTTTCATTCCCTTCTTTTGGACAGATAAAACTGTCTGAAAATTTATCAAGTAAAAATACAGCAGACACAAACAAATTAACATCATGAAATCCTAAGTAGTACTAGCTAAGCCTGAACTATGATATAACGATATTCCAACTAAAAAGGCAGTGCATCATAAACTGGAACCTAACGCTACGACCGAAGTACATTAAACACACCATAAACCAGAATATAACCGATACAGAAGCTAGGCATAAAACAAACATTCCAAACTTCTAGGAAACTAGTTCACCAAGCTATATTCAAAGTATATGCTAGCCGGGCATAAATACGTCATAAAACAAAGAGAGGTTCGTTGATGAGATCTGTGTAAACATGTCGTAAGTTAAGAACTAAAGTTGAACACGTAACAGTTGAGAAATCACTTCAAGCTATAACCAACAGTCGGGTAAGCCATAAACAACCATTTTCTTAATTCTAAGGTATGTTATTTTTGCATACCATTTATAAGAAGTAATTTGATAGTGCCGAAAAATTAGTGTTTAATCCAACAATACGTCCACTGCATTTGAAGGAAATTTTATTGTTTGGATAAAGTTAGAGAAATATTTCTTTTTAATTTCATGCTTTAATTTTCTGAGAAAGCCAGTAACATAGGTTATAAGAATACACCATGTTGGCTTAGATTATGAAAAGAAACAATGATACAAATGTAAGGACGATTAAAACTCCTTTACGCGTGTCTATTATTATCATATTTAAGTCATTTACTGCTGAATATAATATAACTAACAAGTAAAACACAGAATAAGATTCATTACGTCAACGTTAGAGGGCACTTTTAAAGCAGTTACATGATTTTTCACGCGGGTTTGGATGTTTAAATATTGTATTGGCGTTAGGAAACAAAAGAATTCCTTTCACTCACCAAAACACATTGATATATATATACACCTGATATACCAGCCAACAACATATAAGACTTGTGGATCAACTTCAAAACTATGCTACTTTTAGGGTCTCAGACGAGGAAATGTCGTGACTACTATTGATGCAAATTGAAGCCATTTTTTTAAGTTTTGCCTGAATATAGCATAGGATAGCATTACAAGCCATTGCTCTAATCTTATACTGAAATGTACTATAGACAAGTCATTTGAATCCTTCCCTTACGTCCTCCGGTGGGACAGCTGTAAGTCTTCGGATTTACAAGGCTAAAATGAGGGGTTCAATTCCCTCGGTGGACACAGCAGATAGCTCGATGTGGCTTTGCTATAACAAAACACACACCAATATTTGACACAATGGTTTCGTAATATTTCGATGTTGATGCCTCGCTGGATCTCTTTTCGGAACGACATGCACACAAAATTTATAAGCCCCTAGTGGCACAGCGTTATGTCTGCGGACTTAACACTAGAAACTTGAAACTGATGCCACCCTTCCAGTTCAACAAATGTGTGTTTTTATTACAGATTCAACCTAATAAAGAGCACATTTTACATAAACTTCATATCGATAGACTAACTTGAAACTCATGCTACCCTTCCAGTTTAACAAATGTGTTTTTTGTTACAGATTCAACCTAATAAAGAGCACATTTTACATAAACATCATATCGATAGACTAACTTGAAACTCATGCTAACCCTTCCAGTTCAACAAATGTGTGTTTTTGTTACAGATTCAACCTAATAAACAGCACATTTTACATAAACTTTATACCGATAGACTAACTTGAAACTGATGCTACCCTTCCAGTTCAACAAATGTGTGTTTTTATTACAGATTCAACCTAATAAAGAGCACATTTTACATAAACTTCATATCGATAGACTAACTTGAAACTCATGCTACCCTTCCAGTTTAACAAATGTGTTTTTTGTTACAGATTCAACCTAATAAAGAGCACATTTTACATAAACTTCATATCGATAGACTAACTTGAAACTCATGCTACCCTTCCAGTTCAACAAATGTGTGTTTTTGTTACAGATTCAACCTAATAAAGAGCACAGTTTACATAAGCTTCATGCTAATAGACTAATTTGAAACTGATGCTACCCTTCCAGTTTAACAAATGTGTTTTTTGTTACAGATTCAACCTAATAAAGAGCACAGTTTACATAAACTTCATGCTGATAGACTAATTTGAAACTGATGCCACCCTTCCAGTTCAACAAATGTGTGTTTTTGTTACGGATTCAACCTAATGAAGAGCACAGTTTACATAAACTTAATGCCGATAGACTAAATTAAAACTGACGCTACCCTTCCAGTTTAACAAACGTGTGTTTTTGTTTTAAAAACACACCTTTTGTTAAGGGGATCGTACATCTGAAGTCTTTTTAAGATCAAAAAGTGACCAAAGTTAAACAAAGCTTTTCAGAAACCTGTGAAACACTTCTTCTTAAGTCGACATCCAAGATCACCCATACAATAACATGGACAAAAAAAATGTATATTTTCGTTCTCGCTTTCATTACATTA